TTTTATTACAGCCTGTTAAAATGTGACTTTACCTGTTTTTAATCTGCACTACAGCTGAAATTAAAGCTCACATCTTATGTTTCATTCAACAGTTTCACGATTATTATCCCACAATCTGTGCGTCAGCCTCCGTCCCTGCTCAGAAAACATTCAAACCACCGAGGGATTCAAGACGTCACCTCGTCGCTGAAGACGGAGTCGCAGAAGAGGCGAGAGGAGCGTTTGGCCGAGCGAGCCGTGAAGGGCACGGACTTTAGAGCTGAAGAGGACGGGACGAGGACAGGGACAAAAACAGGAGAGAAGCAAAGACAAGTGAAAGTAAGAAATGAGTGAAGGATTAAGAGGAAACAGGACGACATGTAAAACTATAAAAGTGGAGCAGAGGGTGAGCTTCTCTACGACCAGAGACCCTGAGGCCATCTTGAAACTGTTTGAACATTCAGACGTGTGTCGGTGAAAAAGCGTCAGTGGTGATGAAGTAAATCTTCCAAAATGTTTGAGGCAGAAAAACCACAGGAAGTGAATATATATGGAATTTGCTGAACGTTGTTTCACATGTGTTCAGGTTCAGCGGAGGGATTCGAACCTGTGATGATGTCCTCGATGGCGCCGTCCTTCCCCTCCCTCACCAGCGGAGACACCTGCCTCCTCTTCAGCTCCGCTATCAGATCCATCTGCGGCAGCCTGGTCACCACGGAAACCTGAAACATCACACGTGGGTCAAAGGCTCGTCTGCTGTCGTTAGTTTCTTACATCCGGGATCTTATTTTGTAGTTTGTCGTTCGTCTTGAGATGAAGAGTCGACCTTCTTCCGTCAGCAGCTGGATGAAATCCTGGTGTTTTGCAGGTGAACTGTATTTTGAGAGGAATCTGAATCGTTACCTTATTCTCCATGACGTCAGGTTTAGTCGGAGTCGACGGAGTTTCAGAGTTCGGGACAAGTTTCCTCTTCTGCTCGTTGTCCTGCTCCGCTTGCTGTCGGAGATAAAAACTTTGTAAACGACAACTGAAAAATCAAAAGCTCATTGTTGTTGGTAACATCGTTAAACCAACGACACACAGTTATAGGTTTAATTCCCCAAATCTTAGTGTCCTACATCAACTCAACCTAATATTTGATTCGTTATTTATTTATTTATTATTGCTGCAGTCAACAATCTTATTTTAAAAGTTCTCAGCCGACTGTGCGAGGATACAGTAAGAAACACAAACAGCCATTTCTCCTTTTTTCTCTGTTGTCAGTGAAGCAGCATCATCACAGTTCATCTGTTCCAGGATCAGTAACATCCGGCGAGTCTTATCTGACCTTGTACGCTTTGATGAATCTGACAAAAACCGGGAAGAACATGGAGGGAGGAGTCGTCTTGGAGTGTTCCCCGAAGTATTCCACGGCCGAGTCGTACGCATCCTGAGAAACATGATCCGGGTGTTTACACACAGTTGACACAGATCGTCTTGATTGATTTGGTTCATTAAAGGTAATCGAACCTGTGCAGTTTTCCCATCAGCCACCAGGGAGTCGAGCAGCTCTGTGTTCCTGCTGAGAAACGTCTGCAGAACGGGATTCTCTTGTTCCAGCGAGAACTCGGCGGCGGTCGCCCCCATGCCTCGCTGCAGAGCTCGCACGTCCTGCAGGATACTGTCGAGAGACACTGGGAGGCAGAGAGAGGCTTTATCATTCAAGAGGCGAGTCCAGCCTCCGTTTAACATTCCGTCATCGGCGGAGCGGTGATTAGATTATAAAGTATTACTGCTGATTTAAAGGTCGGAGAGACGATAACCTGCCTCGAGATAACAACAGGGCTTCCGTTCAAACTCCTTATTGAAGAGCTCGTTTGACACTCGGCCTTTCAGAGCAGGAAGTGGATCAGTGGGTTCTTCTGCTCGGATAAATTAATTAAACGTCGTTCCGGCTGCTCGAGTGTGAGGATTCGCTGCAGCTGCTCAGAGCGTCACCGATCACAGAAAGAAATGGATGATCGAGTGTTGGGCCCTCACACAACCTGTTCAATATTCAAACCACTGGGTCTCACTTTGGGTTCAGGTTCAGTGTGTGTGTGTGTGTGTGTGTGTGAGGGAAAGAGAACGAACCCATCGATGCTTTGTCCAGGAAGTGCAGCTCTGAGTAGAAACTCTGGACTTCTGGGTATTTCTCCTGGATGATGCTGACGATGAAGTGCAGCAGCGTCTGTTTGCGGTCGGTGGATTTAGTTTCCAACAACTGGGAGCAGCCGGAACAGTTTACAAATCGCAGGTTAAAGAATTTAATATAGAAACAGAAAATGAAGGGAGGGGAGTTTTTCATATGTCGGATATTTTACTCACCAAATCGAGGCTCTGCAGACGGAAGCCGTACGCGGCTCCTCGCTTGCTGCTGTTCATGTAGTTTCCAAAAGCTAAGATGATCTACAACAGTAGGAAACGTTAATGTGCCTCATGCTAATGAATGACTGAGAAACAGTTTTATAACTTCTATCGTAACAAGCTTCACGTCTCTCACCTCCAGGATTCTCTTCAGTTTGTCGGAGGATTTGATCGACATTGAGGCGGCGATGACGGCGTCGAGTTGCTGAGAGAAGAATCGTTCACATTTATTTCTTCAAGTTGAGACCGTTACCTCGTCACATAAATAACTATATTATCTATCTATCTATCTATGAATCCAGTTGGATTTCTCAGATCTCGTTGTCTCTGGGTTACTCACGGGCTGGATCAGCTGGACGCTCTCGGGGAAGTTGCCCATGAAGGTGAGCGCTCTGATTCGCTGGCAGAGCCGCGGGATCTTGCTGAAGCGCACCATGAAGCGGTCCTCCTCGCTGAGCTCGTCCAGGGGCCTGCCCTCACACTCGTAGTCGTGGATGAGCCTCATCTCGTACTCCGAGGGGATGAAGCGCTCCAGCAGCTCGAGGAAGTCCAGACTCAGAGCTCTCTGGTTGTACCTGCGGGGACGAATTCAAAGTCTCGTTCTGTTTTTCAGCTGTGAAGTAAAAAAAAAACTTGACTCCAGGGTTTTGTGCTCACGTCTCGATGGCGCAGCAAATGTCGGACGCAGCCATCCCCTCCTTCCGCAGGGTGATGGCGAGGTTCTTCGCCCTGTTGGGCTCCATCAGAGACACTTTACTCGGGGACTTATGAGCCAGTTTCATCTTGAGGGTCCCCGGGGCCACAGGGGCGGACTGGGCCTTGGTCTTAAACTGCTCCTCAAAGGCGGCCATGTTGAGCTCCTGATGGAAGAGTTCCAAACAAAGATTCTATGTTAGATTAGAATGTTCGGTTCTCACGTCGGAGAAGAACAGAAGAAGACGAGAAGCGATGGAAACCTGTAACACGTGTTCGTCGTCCAGCTCGTTGAAGATGGTTCCTGTCACCTGGTTGGATTTCAGCGGCTGCCAGTTCAGCAGCGGCATCTGGTACTTCGTCTGAATCGTCTTCTTCTGTTTACAACCTAAACGGGGGGAGGAGGAGGAGGAAGACGTCAGTTTGACAAAATCAGAAAATCCTGACGCTGCTGCTGCGACAGCGACTCACCTGAGCTCCCATCAGCCCCTGAGTGCTGGGCTGTACCACCTCCAGGGGGCAGCAGAGGAGGCGGTGGGGCAACAGGTGGAGGAGGCGGGGCTACAGGTAGAGGAGGAGCTGTGGTTGTGGTCGGAGGTGGTGGGGGAGGAGGCGGAGGAGGCGGAGGAGGCGGAGGTGGTGGAGGCGATTTTTCTACTTCAGGAAGACATGGCGTAGGGTCTGAGGAGGTGGGCGTGGCCTCATCACCTGTGCCTGCTTCGTCTTTAGCTGTCGGGGGGGAAACAACAGCATCGTAGATATTTGAATCATTTTTTTGCTCAGTGGGTAAATTGGCATTTTTTAAAATGTGTGATTAGTTTGAAAAAATTGAAATGAGAGAGACAGAGTGAATTTTATTTAGATATACTGTGAAAGTACCCGTCTTGTTCTAAACTTATAATTCTTCTTTCAGCAGCTCTGACCTTTCTGAGTCTCGTGCGGGATGACAGGGACCACCTGGAGCTCCAGGTGTCCGGACCCGGATCGCTCCATCCGAACGAGCCCTTGCTCCACCAGAGCTTGAACTTTGACCTCCAGCTCCCTCAGGGCCTGGATGGACCGGTCCCTGTCTCTCTCTCGCTCCCTGTCGCTCTCACGCTGTAGCTCGCTCTCTCGCTCTCGCTGCTGCAGCACAGCCACCTGAGAGCACGAGTCTCGAAGACTCTCCTGAGACACGAGCAGGGAACAGGAGGTCAGACTGAAATACAGGGAAGTGGCCAAAAGTACGTGGACACCTGAGCATCTAACGACCAGGTTGTTTTAAACAGTTTTTTCTTTACAGAGACTCGTGGAGGAGAATCTTGAACTTCACCTTCAGCAGCTCCACTTCTTTTGTCGTCTGAATGAGTTTTTTCTCAAACTCCGACACTTTCTCCATCGTCTCCCTCTCGTTCTCCTCAAGTCTGCTGCCCAGCTGAGAACCCACAGCACAACCAGCGTTTCTACATCTTCATCAACTATTTTTCAAATCATCTGTGTGTGTGTCTGCGTTTGTCAGTGTCATTAAACGATTGTTGGATTTCTGACTCGGTGAAGTGAGAGTGAAGGCGTCTGCGTCTCCACCTGTGTGTTGTGTCCCTGCAGCTCCTCCATGTGTTCCAGCAGAGCGTTCTTCGTCTCCGCGTCCTCCAGCAGAGTTGCCACATCAAACACGTTGTCCAGGTACGCCTGAATCTGCACCAGCAGCCGGTCGCTCTCTGTGAACTTTAACCTCTACACACACACACACACACACACACACACCTAAAGTGACCCTCAAGTGGCAGAGCAAATGTTGACCCCTCTCTGACGAACATGCAGCGCTCTAGTTAAGGTTTAATCTGGATGTGAACATGTGGTAAATGGTGAATATGGCCCAAAGAGCACAAAACAAATCCGGGTGTTGGATGTGGTGTTGCTGTGGAACACTTGAGGCCCACATCTGGGAAACGGGGGGGGGGGGGGGGGGGTCTTTCTACGCCAGTCGTGGGCGTTGTCATGTGAGGATGTGACTGAGTCTATAAATCAAATATCTCAGAGCGTCAAGAGAAACTTGCCTCCAGATAATCATCCAGCTCGTGAAGAGTGAACTCGTACTGAAGGTGAACTCTGAAGTTCATGTTCTCCACTGAGTGAACCACGATGTTGATGAACTGCATGCACGCCACCTGGTGGACACACAGAGAAACTGCTTTTAGAGACTGTCCTTTATGAATGAATCAGATGATTCGTTCCTCAGATGTGAGAATTTGAAACTAAACTATTTCACGTGTATCATGAAGTGTAGGTGAAAATAAAACGTCCCGGTTTTACCATGAAGTCGATGTTGTTGTCTTCGCTGCGGAAAAACTCCATGAGCTTCTCAAACCTGCTCCTCTCTGCACACACCTGAACACAACGACATCATCAGCTCATCTTGTGAACGAGTGTTCAGAGATAGATTGTGGTTAAATCCTCTCCCTCCTACTTTTTTAACAATCAGTTCATTTTTCCTCTGCAGTGCCCCCCCCCCCCCCTTTCCCCGCTCATGTCTGTTAAATAATGCAGCACCGCCCAGGCAGCGTGCACGGCCCTGTACAACCACCCACGTCCTGCTGCTGCTGCGGGGGGGACGACACATGAACCAGCTCCTGGCCCTGAGCCCACCGGCCTCCACCCTCTCTCTCTCTCTCTCTCTCTCTTCATCATCGCTCCCCACTGTCTCCCTGTGTCTCTCGCCCACGACTTGTTTAGATGACGAGTTTAATTCAACACTTGATTTTCTTCATATTTTTTACTTAATTAGAAGAAAAGTGATTTTTTTTTTTGTAAACAATTCTGAAAAAGCCAAA